TTAGATTATATCTCTCGATAAAATTTCGCTTGATTCTTGCTTAATGAAACGTGCGCGTCTTTTCTAGCAACTTTCTGGCGAAAACTGGTGTATACCGAGAAGAATATTCGTGTAGGTTGTAAGAGACGCGTCAACCTAGATCTGAAGTAGAAGATTGCAGGAATTGCAGAAATTTTCATTCGGGGGTGTGCCTGCGTCAGCCTTAAGACTAATTAACTAATAATCGGACGTCGTGAGCGTCACAAGCTGTCTGTGACTGAAAAAGTAAACGCGCATCAAATATCATACATGTTTTTTTTCCGGACTATAGTTATATAGCTCTTTAATTCGTTATTTATTTTTATTTATCTTTTTATCTAGGTAAACAGATCTGCTCTATTGAGGAGAGGGATATTTTAATTGTTCCTTGTTTCTCAGAATGACGTTGAATGTTTTCATCAGAACGTTTCGTAAACTTTAATATTTCGGCTAATGTTAATTATTAATCATATGTTTCAGCTTCTCAGCGTCTCAGCCCACACACTGCCACCCATGAAGATGCTCTGTGCATCATTCATTACATCTCTGCTGTCGTCATCCGTCTCTAAGGCTCAACCAGCTGACGATAAAATTGACAGGTAATTTAATAAAATTTTGTAATTAATAAATTATCAGATTTCTTTTTTTTTTTTTAAGAAATTTGAAAAAGCGAAAATTTCCAAGATATAACATTTATTTAGTAAGTTAGTATTTCTTTCCATTTTTTTTTTTTAATTCATAAATACGTAAGATTTCATAATAGTTCAAAGTTCTGCAATTTCAACGAATCGTGGAAAATCATCGCAAATGGAATATTGTAATTTAGAAATAAAAATTAATAGTTAAACTCTTTGGTAACAGATTCTCAAATCATGCTTTCGAGATGATATTTTAATAGTTGATTTTAAATAAATTGTATGCTTCTTATCTCGATTTGTTCAGAGATGAAACGATGCAGAATGATGAAGAATCGGAGGAAAGCGAAGAAGAATTATCACATCCGAAAAATCACGAATCGCCACCTGTAACTGAAGTTGACGACGTTGATGAGACGAAAGTGCAACTTGTCGATCACGATTGGTCTTTCCTTAAGACTATACTTCCGGATCGAGAAGAAATTGAACAGTGATAAAATTTTATGGCTCAACATGGAGATTTTTATTTTCACACGCGAAAGATTAATCGTTTATAAAATAATTGACAAAAGAAATTTATTTCGTAAGTTCTATTTACAGATATACACAACATCGACAGATATAGTTTCTATGATTATATATAAATATTGTATATAAATTAAGACACCGTGTAATAATTAGCATAATACAATTCGATTTTAATTTTTTATCTAAAATTCGTTTTAATGCGCCGCTATTTAATTTTGCTAGTATTTTAAATAAGAAATTTTGTAACTTTACGTTGGTTTTGGTATTTCATCAAGTCGAAGACTGAACTCGACTAATTCAGTAATAGTTTCCGACAATCGTTTCCTATAAACCGGATCGATTTCCATTATTTTAATCACCGTTTCATTTCTATTTTTAAATTCAAACTCGTGATAACTATCGGGATCATTCATAATTTCCGCACCTATTTTCTCATCCATCAATACAGTCTGAAAATACGTACACGCGGTGATCACAGCAGCTAATCTCTGCTCTTCCATTCCCTCAATTAATTCTGACCACGATGGAACTTGTACAGAAACTGATTTTGCCGAGTTCAATATCTCGTGCAACACGCTATAGTAATGCCTCAGCATAGCCTCTTGCCATTTATCTCTAAAATCACGATCAGCGCAAAGATACAGCAACTGTATTACATCGTGCGCCAGAGGGGAGTACCTGAATAATTGAAAATCTATTAACAAGCACTTAGAAGGTACGGTGTTACTGAACATAAGATTATTCCCCCATAGATCTCCATGGCTAACAACATTTCTTTTCGTAGTTGACATTTCCAAGGCGGCGTATACTTCTTCGCAAGCTTTTGGCACGAAATCAGCATTCAGACCAAGATGTTTGGCTACGGCAACTATGGCATTCACGCTTACTTCGAACCACGTTCTAGTTTTACCAGTTTCAGAAATGGAGTTCTCGACAAAGGCATATGGATATATTTCCTTCAAGGACTTTCCAAGACGTGCCTCCGCCAATAGAGAACATGCATGTAATTTAGCGATGGCTGTTAAAGCGGATTCAATAAGCTCTTTATCAAATAATTTACTCCTCAATGAATAGCCTTTAGCACCTAGGTCTTCAAATACCAACAAATTATCTTTGGACAAGAAACAAGTTGCTGTCCACGGTTCGCCCTTATACTCGTGACAGAGCTGAGAAAATATATCATGATAGAAAATCTTCTCCTTCAAAAAGGCACATTTATCGAGTACGTATTCAGCTTGAGCCGGTAGATCGTACGGCACGACTTTAACGAAGAATGACAGAATATCTCTTTTACTTGCTGTTTTGATTTCCACGCTAAGCCTCTGATGTGACCCAAGAAATCCAAGCTTTCCGTCAGAATACGATCCCAGGAAGAACTTTTGCACCACTGCATCGTTGCCTATCGCACGATTCACTAAAGCTTGCACTTCTTGAAAAGTCAGCAAATTTCGATAAGTATTCACATCGGAAAGAGATTGCTCGTTGTTCAAGCGTTGTGGAGCGATTCGAACAACTTCCAGCTCTGATTTTGACATGGTTGAGGAAGTAAGTAAATATGTTAGTTACCGATCCTCCTTATATAAGCATCAGCACCTCTTATTCCTTTTCAATTGTATCTTGGATATATTTATAACAGGATATCTGTATTTGTTTCTTCGTGTACATATTTATCAGTAGCAAATGAGATTTGTGCATTACGTTCAAGCACATGCAAAAATCGTAATGTTTGTTCTGTATCTTCATTCTAGTACAGAACGCGTGCTAAGCTTGTGCAGTGGCTAAATTTAAAACTAAGAAACGATGGCATAAATCAATCTTTATCCACGTTTTAATACGTGGTATTTTTGATCCATAAAAATTTGAATTTTACGTTATTCTGTCTCGACGAACGAATAACCAATACGGTATTTCAAAGATGCTTAAGATACTGGCACCCGTGAAGAGACCAAGTGCACTTCCGACAGAAACTAAAGATAAGAAATAATTAAGTAGCTAACAAGATAATAAGTAATTAAATAATTACAAGATATTTCAAACGTTAATAAACTTTAGAAATATATGATAATACTTGAAATATCTAAAAACTTTCTTACAAACGTAAAGTCTGATTTGTTTTGTTATAATATAGTAAGTTTAACTTCTCGTTTCAACTTTAATTCTTACAGATATCAAAAGTAAAGACTTTCCTATATATTAATTACAGCGGAGGTTCATATGTCAAACAATGGCAAGAAATAATAATCAAGAAGAATGATAATAATTTGACATACGAATTATTATACAATTTGCATATATCTTTATCCCAGAGAGAAAATTTGTTATTTTGTAAAACGAACTTTTTTTTCAGTATAATATATAGTTAACTATACACGGCAACTGAAAGTAACTTAACGTCATTACACTGTTTGTCATTTACAAACTTTATATAAGTCTCTTATCAGAACAGGTGATCGTAGATGTTTTCCTAATTTCCTTTCTTTGTAATGTCAGAAGAAAACTTGTTTGGTAGTTGATAATAACACTGATAATGGGAAAAAACCATGCAAAAATATATGCAAATGTAAAAAAAAATCTTTGTTCCTACAATTTTAAATAATTATCAGTTACTATTATTAAACGTTTACCTATGACATCTAAAAGATCGTTGACCACGTATCGGCGATATCGTATGGTTGGATGTGACAGCAATGTAAAATGAAGTCGTCCATACATTTGACTAGGAGAATCATATTCCGAAGGTTCCAAATGATTTCTGTAATACGAAATATTATACTTAAAAAACATCATAAATGAATTTGTAAAAAAAGAACAAATCAAAGTATCTTTTTTTTTTATTGAAAAAGAAAATCAAACGCTGCTTATAAGAGCGTATAAAATAATTACTTTTTTTAAAAAATGTGCGCTATTTTGTATGATACAGATTATTTTAAAATTATCTTAATTTTTAAACATTATTCTATATTTCAAAATTATTATCAACCATGTTTTAAAATTATTCTAATTCATAATTTTCCTTTTCAATTAATGTACTTTTTCAATTGTACAGGTGCATTCAAACGTGTTCGTGTATAAAATAAAATGGATCATTCTATCGCGTGCAAAAAATTTCAATGTGAGTTTTCAAGATTTTTATGAGATTCATACACAACCAACGATGTCCCCTCGCAATCCGGAAGACATCTTTCATTTTTAAGCGATTGCAAATCGATGTTCATCTTATTCTCAATTATGCAAAGCATCTCGGTGCCGTTGCAAACTCTCGCCCCTTGGGGCACAAAGTAATAAAAATTCACGCAACCGCAGAGCTTTATCATTCGTTCTATAATCACCTAGTGACGGATAGCATTTAATTTATTAGTGTCGACATCGCATTATAAATTACCATTCTCCGTCGGCCCGATTAACGGGAATTAGAATATATCCGAAAGCAACATTGTCGTGTAAAAAGAGAAAAATCGACATACTTCCAGATAACAGGAATCGCTGCTATAAATGTTAAACAGATTGTTCGCTCGTGTTTCTTCGGGAAACCGACAGCCTCTATGTTCGATCGCAATTTTCTTCACGCCGTCCTCGTTGAATATATCCTGCATTGTGAATTCGATTCGGGTCGTTCTGCCGGATTTTATAGGTATGTCGCTTTTATCCACGTTGTTAAGTATTGGTAATTTCAAATTGTTCAGTAAGTGTACCTAAAAATTTGTGTTCAGTTTAATAGTGAAACCATAGTACAGGAATTATAATTTATAATATAATTTATAATAATCTAAAATTTGGTAGTAATCATAGTAATAACAGATTTACAAAATAATAATATTCTTTTAATCATATAGCTTTGGAAGTTCTCCTTTTAGATAAAATGTTCTTATTAAGAAATATGTTTGATTAATATTAAATTTTATTAATAAGTTAATATTAAGAAATATAAACTCTTATTAATTTGCGTTTCTACAAGGCTGTATAATCCTCAGATAATTAGTAAAGCTAACTGCAGTGCTGATGAAATTTCGATTCGCTTTATCAAAAACTTAGCTTATGTGTTACATATTTGCCTTTGACTTTTAAAAGAATCTTAATTACGCACTGCTGTATTGCTTTAGGAATGGCTATAGTAATTCCTGTGTAATTATTTTTAAATCATCTGACATCAACTCCAAAATACAGCCTCTGAAAAGTTTTCAGAGAGAAAGTGATTTGATTAAATTATAAATTACCAAGATACCAAAAATTTCATCTGATATCTCCAGAGTAAAGTTAATTAAATTTAACTTTTTAATTTTTAATTCTACAACTATAGAAATTTTTAACTAAAAGACAACTCTAGATTAATAGAATAGAAATATTATAAATACAAAATGAATACAAACTGTAAATCCATAGTAAATTTGTTTCTTCATCATTTCATTCATCGAAATATCGATGACAAGATCACCGTATTTCACGGTACGATTTACGAAGAAGTATACGCCCGGTTTCAAATGAAATGTATTCATCGCGATGCAATAACCCACGCCGGTTTTCCTCAGCTCCTTGAATTCGGTGCAACAATCAAATTTCACGTTGTTCCACGTACATTCTGCTAAGAATTCTTTACAGGGAACACGCATCTGTGATAGGTAAAGGTAACGATAAATATTCGCAATATTTCGACTTACTGCGCTTGATATTCAACTTCACAGAAATTAATGATCTTTCACCGTTTGATAAAGAGACAGAAGAGCTTCTGACGATTCACGAAAGGATTTGGAATCGGGATAATTTGCGAACAATCCTGGGTTTCTTAAAAAAAAAAAATTTCATTTAGAAAATAAAAGATTAAAATATTGAAATATAAATAATTGCAATTTAAAACGTAATAATTGCCTAGTAATAAGCAAAGTTTAATAACGCGATGATTTAATTTTAATGACGATTGAAATTATAAAATGATTGAATATAGCTTTCGATTTAAAATATTTTTAATGTAACATACCCTTTGAAAAGTTTTTTAACGGTGGAAGTGACAGTAAAGCAAAAAGCAACCGTAGGAAATGGTGTCTGCCAATCAAGGTATGTAGTTTCGGTAGTTAAAGCAATAGGATATTGAACATAATTTCTCACTACATTATTAATCATATTCGCGCAACCGTACCAGGACAGCGCGCAAAATATCAGCCAAAATAATCTGTAAATTAGTAAAATTTCTTTATC